GGGGGGGTGCCCCAGCAGAGGACCAGGTGGCGTGCAGGGAAGAGTCAGCCCAACAGCACCTCTGTGTAGGGTTGCGGCCACCACCCACCAGGTCTGCAGATGAGGAAGCAGGTCACACAGCCAACCTGGGCAGGACCCAGCCAAGAAGCCTTTGGGCTAGCAACGCAGCCACTCACCCAAAGGCTTCTTGCAGCCTAAGCACCCTGCCTGGCACACAGTACGCACTCAGGAAATGTGGCCACACCGGCAGCACGGTCACCAGACAAACCCGTGGAATTCAGCACAGCTGCCTGATGCCTTTGACATGGCTCGCATGCACCATTATCACTGGGAGTTACTGTGAAGGAGATTTGCTCATAGGGCTGGGAACACAGCATAGATTTTTACATGAGCAGCATCTTTTTAAAACTCTTGATGGGGAGCCCTCTTGACTCTCCAACACCCTGTCCAGACCCTCAGTGCTGTGGACAGAGAGGGAAGGCCCCCTGCAGCTATGTGTCCTGCACAAAACCTGCCTCAGTGTCCACATATGTTCCTTGCTGAAGTGGGGGCACAGGGCCCGGAAGGGGACGGGTGGTGAGAGATGGCAGGCTCAGGGGTCTCTGTGCAGCCTGGAAAGAGGGCAAGCTCTGTGATGGAGGAGAGAGCCTGGCGAAGGGATGCTGCCTTTTAGAAAACCTCCAAGTGCCACAGTGTGGCCTGGCCCGCTGCCCCGCTGCACCTCACCACCCCTGCCCTGCGCGCAGCTCCTCACTCCAGCTATCGCCTCAGGCAGGCACTTCACCTGGTCCCTGCCTCAGGGCCTTTGCACAGCAGCTCCTTTTTCTCTGCGCTGGCACAGCTCCTCCTCTTGGGGGCTTGGGGAACTGCCCATCAGGCCACTTTCCACAGGAAGATCTCCCTGGGGGTCGGTCTCATCAGCCCACAGGCCCTGGAGCGGGCCTACCTGGACTTGAACTCCGGCTCCATCAGCTATGAGGCTCTGTGCCTCGGTTTCCCTATTGGTAAGACAGAGACTGTCGTAGGCCTTTCCTCAGAAGGTGCTAAGATGTGCTACCACAGATCCTGGCACATCTAACACATAAACCTTTCAGGACAAAGCTGATCTGATTGCTACCATCTCCTTGCCAGCACTCGAAGCCGCCGATACTTCACTTCTCAGCCCCACCCTGCTCCCTCCAGCCTGCTCCCTCCAGCCTGCCCAGCACCAGGCCCTGAAGGAGATCTTGCTGCTGCCACCCTAGGCCTGCTTGTTTCTGGCCCTCCCCTGCCCTCTACTGGTCACTCTCAGAATTGCCCCAGGGGCCCAGCAGGATCCTTTCCTGCAGATTCTGGGACTGGCTCCCTCCAGACCGCAGGGCCATGCAAAACAGGCAGAGCTGCCTGCAGTGCTGAGCGCCCCACCCATGCAGCGACCCTTGGAATGTGCTGATGGGCACAGGGCAAGGGAAGAGGGGACCCCTGGGGGCCTTGTTCTCAGCCCTTCCCCAATAGGCTGCTCCCCAAGAGAAGCACTGCACCTGCTCACTAGCCTGCAGGGCCTCCCCAGGGCCTGCCAGGTCCCCATGTGGATGCCCGTGGTCCTCACTGAACCGGCCGCCTCACTCGCACCTTCTTAGCACCCTGAGCCTGCCTCAGGGCCTTTGCTCATATTGGCTGAAGACACTTTCCTCTCCTATGGATGGCTGCTAGGACATCTCAGACTGCCCTTCTACCCAGGGTTTCAGAGGACACCAGGTGTCCCACTGTCCAACGGAGCAGGAGAGGGTTAGGGTCCCAGAGCTGGCAAGGCGCAGGGCAGCGGGCCCTTTGCTTCGCTTGGTGTCCTTGGCAAAGTGGGCTTGTTGTCAGCTTTGATGAAAGCTCTGGGAGATTCTCAACAGCCCAGCACACAGTAGGTGCTCAGAAAATGACTGGAATCCAACTGAACTTTGGAAATCTGAGTTACAGGCTGTTTATTTCAGCGCTGTTCAGTGCACAGGCTGCAGCTGCACTGCATCCCCAGAGGACAGAGCCTGCGTCTCCGAGGCCTCGCATTGCAAGTTCACGTTTTCTCTGCAAAGTCCTCTGCTGGCCAGGTGGCTCTTGTCACAGTGGGAGCTCCAGGACCCCAACCACTGGCATCCTGTGGCCCCTGGGGCAGCAACAGGATGGTGGTGCTCCCCTATCTCGCCAACCACCCGCCGCCAGGGGGCTGCAAAATGGCGATGGGCACGGGGTCTTGCAGCACCCCTGCGGCACTGGCATTGTGTCAGGACACCTGTGAGCCAGGCTGGTGAGGAGAGCCTGGGAAGGAGGAGGGTCTTGGTTCTGAGTCCTCAGGGCCTGTGGCCCTGTGTCTCCGTGTGCCACGGACCTGCCTCACTGCGGACACAGCTCTGGGTTTGGTCCTGAGACCCTGAGAGGGGACTGCACACAGGGTGGGCCCAAAGTGCCCCAAAGGGCTTTTCCTGGCAGCTCACAAAAGCCGAGGTGAAGGCCCAGATGCAGAAATGGCCTGGGGGCTTAGTGGAGGAGCTTGCCAGGCGGAGTCTTCCCTTCCAGTGGGACCACTATCAGGGAGGACGGAGTTGGAGCTGGGCCCGTGGGCCACGCTGGGAGCACATTCAGCCCCTCCTCCCAGTTCATTGTCAAGGGGCTCTCGGCCCTGAATCGAGAGAAGACCTGGGCCCCTTGCTGCCCCTGCCACAAGCTCACCCGGACACGAGTCTCAGGTGCTTGCAGACGCACCCTAACGTTGCACATGGGGCCACAGTGAGGTCCCATGGCAGGGCTGGGCCACACGGCGCCAGGATTGCGTGGGTGCAGACCAGGATGGGGCCTGGAACTGGGGGGCTCTGGGAGGCCTTTGGGAGCCCTGCCTGACAGCCCTCTGGAGGTCCAGTACCAACACCAAGGGACCCATGGAGCACAGCTTAGCCTCCAGGGCCCAGGCTCAGGGGCCAGCCAGCCTGGGATGGTGGGGAGGAGGCAGAACTGGGCCTGGAGGGGCTGCAGAGGGCAACCGAGGGCCAGGCATGGTCTCCTGGTTCTGTGAGGTGAGGGTGTGGGAGACACAAGGCCAAGTCTGGCTGGATCTGGGTAGGACACTGTCCAGCAGGTGCAGTGCCGAGCCTGGGGACATGGAGGGGCCATGCCTCCTGGGGACCCAGCAGGATGGACTCAAGCTGAGGGTGCCTGGGGAGAGGGTCCCGTCCCAGGGCCCAGTGATGCCCGAGATGCCCGGCAGCCAGGTAGCCCCGCGCTCCTCCACAGCGGCCCCTGCAGCAGCTGGTCTTTCTTTTCCCTCCAATCCTTGACCTTCACTGTGCCCACACTTGTCTGTGTAGGGGTGGGGGGTGGGAGGTGAGTTCTGCTTTTGTTCATTTGCTGTGAATAATGTCCGATGGAGACAAAACCCTGTGTTTGTTCCTGACTGCCTTGTGGTTGGCCCTGTACTCACTGGACTCAGCCAGATTGCCCATCTGTGAACCATAAGGTTTTAGAGGATGCTTGGGGCTGGGGCTAGGAAGGTTAGGGTCTCGAAGGCTGCCTGCCCCACAGGTATCTTCTGCCCATTCCTACAGGCTGCTTGGGGTGCAGGTAGTGTATGTGCCCATAGGCCATCGGGAGTTTCTGAGGGGAACAGTGGCAGCTCTGATGTGGGCAGGGGGCCTGGTCTGACTGCCCACCATCACCCCCAGCCCTCAGGGTGCACAAGACCTGACCCCGCCCCCTCCGACCCCCACAGTGCCTCCCACCCCGTTGAGAACCCCTGCCACCCTCACTGCAGGATGGACGGCGGTGAATGAGGCAGAAATGACACAGACATGGTTCTGTACAAAACCTGAAATATCTTTACTCTTTTAAAACTTTGATTTAAGTTGCCTTAGACCTCATGGACTCAATACAAGAGTAATATGAATTGGGAAATAAAACACTTTAATAGCCACGATAAACTTTGTTAGAAATGTACATGTTGCCAAAATAATAATAAAATTAAAAAATAAGAGAGAGAGAGAGAACAGTTTGATGGCCGGGTTAGATTATATAAATGTTCAACAGTAACAGGCAAGGAAACCTTCAAAACGCTGGGCTGGAGTCGTCGGGTCCATGAGCGTGGCCTTGCCCATCCCCAAGGCTCGGCGGCCGGGTCTCCGACAGGCGAGCCAGGGGCCAAGGCCGGCACGAAGCTGCCTCTCCGTGCGGACAGAACACCCAGGGATGGGCATATAAACAAAGCTCATAAGAAATATACAAATATAAAAAGCTACAAACATTAATAAATTACAGCATCACAAAACACAGAACACTTCACAAGGTGCTAGTAAAATAACTGTCCCCCACCCCTTCATCAACAAGAAGGAAAGAAAGCTGGTATTCGAGTTGAAGACTCATCTTCAAACATATCTGAAACAGATCTTTTGTGTATGTTCGCTTCTGTAAAGACAGCTATAAGGCTGCACAGACATCACTTGTTTTTCAGGCAATACCTTAGTCCCTAAAATAAAATAAAAAAATAACCATAGCAATAAAAAAAAGGAAGGAAAAGAAAAAGCATCGGAAACCCAACTGTTCGTCAGACTCAGCAAAAAACTCGTATAAATGTTAATGAAGGACTCTACAAAGAAATTCCTAAAGATACTTTTACTCTTATAAAAAAGAAGTTATTTAAAAAGCTATTTACACGCTACATTCTATGAAAAATATGCTTCAGGAAATACATCTAAAATTAAAATACAGGATTGCCTGAGAAACAAATCCAGCCCCTCCGTGTCCATGGGTGGACTCGCGGTCCAGGAGCCACCCATGCACTCGACACCAAGTGACAGGTGACAAGACAGAAGTGCCAGGCCCCCGGCAACCTTGGGCTGCTCGGCCGGCCGCCATCCGCCCCGCCAGACCCGGGGCAGGGTGCCCTTGGCTGGCAAGTGCTTTTGGGAGTGTGGACAGTGGGACTGGACAGGACCCACCATGTGGCTTTGCCTGGGCCCCCTGGGCCTGCATCAGGGCTGGGGATCCCACGGTGGCTCCCCTACCCATGAACACACTGACCCTGCTGCCAGCCCGTGTTCCTAGAAATGCCCTGGGCATTCAGGGGCGACACCCACCATCTGGCCTGCCACGTGCCGGCAGGGAGCCTGGAGGCCCCCCTCTCCTGGCCAGAATGAACGCCTGCTGGACATGTCGGAGAATCACTTGGGAAGAGATGGGGGCACATCAACACCCTGCTTTCTCCTCCTCTTCCTCTCTAGTGTCCTTTGCCTTTTTTTAAGCCTCTGGAGGCTGCCAGCCTGTGGCTGGCTCAGGCTCTGGGCCTGGTGAATGTTGGCTCACTCCTCCTTCCTCGAAGGACTCATGCTCCCAGCAGAGCTGCAGAGGCCCTGCCACCACCCCCGTGCTCGGGGCGCCTAGAGGCCGTCCTGACACCGAACGGTCCTCACACGGGCGGGGCCGAGTTTCGGGAACTGGTCACTCTAAGCAACGTGAGAAAGGGCGGCTGTCCGTATTGGCGAGCTCCGCCTGCTGAAGCCGCAGGCGCTGGCTCAAGTGTGGGGAGTGGAGGCCGGGAGGAAGCCAGGCCTCCCGGGGCGCGGCGGCGCGGCCACCCTCCTGGGGCTGACGATGTAGCGGGGCTCCGGGGTCCTGAGCGGAGCAGAAGGGTCCTGGCTCTCCAAACTTTAAAGGAGCAGTTTTCCATTCCGATGAATTTTCAAAATTTTCCCAAGCCTCTGCTTGGCGGTGGCCATGCCCTTTTTTGTACGTTTTCCTGGGGGTAGAAGAGGGGACACAAAAAGGCAGATAGCTGTGTGAGAGGGCAGAGGAGCAGCGTGTGGGGTGGGAGTCGGCACACCCCCCTTCACGCTCCCATCGGGCTGTGAGTGGGCCTGTGGCCCCGAGTCTGGGGGCCTGCACCCTCCAAAAGCACAATTCTTCCCCCGAGCCCCCAGCTCAGAGGCCGCATCGACGGGGGGGCAGGGATGCAGGAGTGGGGGTGAGGCCAGGGTGGGGACGGGCCAGGCAATGGCACTGGGGTGGAGTGAGACCCCTGCCTACCTCCTGGCTACAGGGCCACCTGGAGCCACACGAGCTGTGTCCGCCACCGGCTGGGCCTCACGGCCAGCGGGAAGGACTCTGCTGGGAGCGCGAGTCCTTTGGGGCAGGAGGAGTGAGCCAACCACTAACCAGGCCAGGGGGCCAGCGGCCGGGCAGGGGAGATGCCAAGCATTCATGCCACCCCCAACTCACACAGGGTCCTGGGTCAGTCACCCTGGACCCCTCCCAGAGAACCCTTGGCAAACGGTTTACCACGCCCTGACTCCAAGCTAAGCCCAAAGCCAAAGCACTTGGGGTCTGGGGACCTGGGCCAAACTCAGGTAACCAGACCTCCCCGTGTGTGACTCTGGTCCTCAACCTTGAAAGAGGCCATTTCTTTCACACACTGACCGTGTGGCCACACACAGGACTACGGGGGACAGAGGAAGCCTGTGGTCACCTACGGAGACAGTCTGCAAGTCTAGGCTGCGTAGGGCCGGCAGGTACGGTACCTTTGGCAGCGGTGTTGTTGGGGGATGACGCAGAGGGCCGCCTCTGTGTGAGGAAGACCCCGGGGGCCATGGGCTGAGAGGCACGGCTTGCCTGGGCCCCGCTGAAGGTGCCGGCCACCGTGTACTCGTGGTCGGCCAGGCTGCTGCTGTGCGCCTCAGGTGGGATCTCGGGCGAGCTGCCCTCCTGAGAGGCCTGGCTGCTGGCGGTGCTGGTGGAGGCCGTGCTGGTGGAGGCAGGGGTGGCGGAGGCCGGGGTGGTGGAGGCCGAGGTGGTGGAGGCCGAGGTGGTGCTGGCCGAGGTTGTGGAGGCAGAGGTGGAGGTGGAGGTGGTATTGGGCGTCAGCTTCCTCTTGGAGTTCTTTTTCTTCCTGCTTTTCTGCTCCTCCTTTGAACAAAGCAGGTGGGCAAGTTGGCCGGCAGGGCGGGCCGGGCCTCAGGTGCTGGGCAGGCAGGCAGGGAGCAGCCCTCACCACCCTGGGCCCAGGGGAGGTAGGTCCCTGTGCATGAGGCCTCTCCAGGGAGCTGAGTGCCAGTGCCCCTCAGGGCAGGGCGGGCCTGAGGAGGGCACCACGCTCCCTCCTGCGGGGGTGCCCTGCACAGGGGACCATGTGGGATGGCACTAAGCTCGGCGCCCTCCTCCGTCACCCTGCTCTGAGCCGCCTCGGGACTCGGCTCTAGAACATTCACTGTGGTCCTTTAACCTCCTCAGGTGCCCGGCTGGGGCTGGGCTGGGTGACACCTGAGAGTCCGAGACCCTCTCTTCTGGGGGAGCTGGAACCAGGAGGAGCTGAGGTGGCAAAGGAGTGGACGGAGATGGCGCAGCCCCCTGAGCTCCGTGAGGACAAGAGGAAGACGCCGGGTCTCCAGCGACGGGGGAGGCCCCGAGGAGCTGTGTCCCCCGAACCTGGGACAATGGTCCGCACCAAGACAGTGTGAGGGGCCCAGGCACTGGTTCCCGCCATCGCCCCCCACTGTGGGGACTCGGGGGCCAGAATAAAGCAACACTCAAATCCCCTCAGCTGTGCCAGCCCTCAGCACGGGTGGCTTCTGCACCGGGTGGGGCCCTCCTCACCTGCTGGGACAGCTTGGCTGCAGCGGCCGCCAGACCGGTCTCGATGGAGGCCACTCTGGTCCCCTCTCGAACAGGCCTGTCCTGCCTCGGCACCGAGGGGCCGACCCTCGCTTTGGGAAAGAAGGGCAGCGTGCCTCAATGGGCGGCCCGCACCGCGGGCACCCTGGGCCCACCCCAGCCCAGCCTGCTCCTGAGCCCAGGGACACCTCACAAGTTGGGGAGGGTCAGTGAGAGGCCCAATCGGGTAGGGGATCCCACCCAGCAAGGCAGGAGCAGGCAGGAGGGGGTCATGTGTAAAGTGGACAACCCCCCCCCCGGGCTCCTCCCCCACTGGCTGCCATCTGGGGGCCAGAAGCAAAGGCAGCTCTCCCAGGCTGCTCCCTGAGAAGAAACTAGGCAGGGGCTGGCCTACCCGGGGCACCACCCCAGCCCGCCCAGGAGAGCAGCAGGCAGGGACACCCCTCTCGCCTGTACAGAGCCCACGTGCCCGTGGCTCTCCTGCAGGTGTGGACAGAGCCCCTCCCATCCCAGCACTACCTGTTGGGCTGTAGGGAGCGTCGTCTGAGGCTTTCCTCTTCTTGGACCGGGACTTGAAGACGGGGCTGTCCTCGTCAGACTCCAGGGAGGGGTACACTGCAGAGGCGAAGGGAGGGAGGGCTGAGCCCGGCCACCCGGGCGTGGGACTGCAGGCCAGGGACCTGACGTCCTGGGAGCCATCCTCAGGGTGCAGAGCGTTGGGCACGGGGTGCCCCAGAAACTACCCAGCCCAGGACCCCTTTAGGCTCTGAGAGGGGCAGCCACTGGGCAGGCCCCATCTGGCCCCCGGGGGCACCTCAACAGCCTCGCCCACCCCAGCCTGACTGCAGCACCCCCTGTTCACCCGTTCTTCTGAGAACGCCTCGCTCTCTGCAACTACCAGGAAACAAACATCCTACGTCCACAGAGCTGATGGCTCTGAGCACCCCCAGACTTGCCTCAGGGAGTCTCTGGAGGAGACAGCCTCACACGGTCGCTCCAGGTGACTTGCAGGTGCCACCCCCACCTCCCACACTGTAAGTTGTGACTGTCAACCACCAGCACTTGTGGCACCTGAAACCCCAGCACCCACCCTGTGCCACTCCACTTCCGTCAGCCCAGGGCAGGCCCCCGCGAGGCATGAACGTGTCTGGCAGATGGGGCAGGGCAGGCCCCCCTGGAGGGCTGTGGGGACAGACAGGGGCACGGCACTGGGCCCCGGGCCCATCAGAGCTGTGCTGAAGGCAGGCCTTACAGCAGAGGGGCAGCGCACTCCTAACCCTGGGGAGCGGGGCCCTGTGTTAGCACGCTGTGCCCGTGGGGACGGACGCGTCCCTAGGCAGCTCCTTGATTCCAAATCCCCTTCTAGAGCCGGGACCCCAGAGCCTGGAGGGGCTGTGCCCCTGGAAGAAGACTGCACCCATGGCCCAGCCCCTAACTCACTGCCACCTCAGACGCAGGCCACAGAGCCACTCAGCCTGTGTCTCATCTACACGCAGACGGTAGACGCAGCCTCAGTGCATGCACTAGTGTGGAATGGTAGCTGCATGGAGGCCGGCCGGCTGGGACCTCAGAAGGTGAAATGAGCTAAAACCTTCCACCCAGCGATACCCCTCCCACGTATGTGCCTGGGCACACGAGCACGGGCCACACAAACCCTGCACACCAGTGTCCACGCAGCACTCGTCACAACCAGCCCTCTGGTGTGCAGGGGGAGGAAGGGGCGCACGATGTGGCGGGCACACTGTGTGCTCAGCCACCACACTGTGTGACGGTGCTCAGCCATCACATGAGGGGCTGCCACATGCTGCCACGTGTGAGCCCGGAGGAGAACGCCGATGAGAGAAGCCAGACACCAGGGCGGCGCACTACTGGATTCAGTGAACAAGACACCCAGGCTGACCAGGCGACAAGGTTACCAGGGGCAGTGAAAGGCAGGGGAGCGGCTTCCTCTGGGGGGGTGACGGGCTCCGATTGGCTGTCGTGATGGTGGCACACCCTCTAAATACAGTAAACACCACTGAGCGGCACACAGTGTGTGTGTGTGTGTGTGTGTGTGTGTGTGTGTGTTGGTGTGTGTGCGCGCGTGCGTGCTGTCCCCACAGCAATGGTAACACGTAAGTCCTGCTCCAGCGGAGCCAGGAGCCGGCAGGACAGTGTCCTTCAACATTCCTCTGTATTTTCCGAGCCCCTTCCCCTACTTTATTGGAGCGGAGTGGCGTCCTCACCTGGTGAGAGGGGAGGGGACTTGTCGCACGCGGCCCAGGCCAGAGCACGGCCCCAGCTGCGCCGCGGAAGCAGCGCTATTACACCTCTGGGCCGCCAAGGTCTCAGGACGGACACGGTCATTTATTTTCTTACTGGATGTTTGTCTTAAACCTGGACAAATACGCTGCCTTCGGGGTAGTACCGTTTACCTGGCCCGCAGAGCGCCTTTGCTCCAAGAGGTGTTTGAGGCTAACAGCCTGTGCGTATTGTGCTGCGCACTCTAACAGGGGACGCTATGGCCTCTGAATTCTCTAAGAAAGGCCAGCTCCACGGTCAGGCTCTGCGCGCGGCGCTCACCATAGTCCGAGTCCTTGAAGCAGGCGTCCAGGTGGTCCTGCTCCTCATAGTCGTCCAGGTCCACGCTGTGCTTGGCCGCCCTCTTCAGCAGCCGCTTGCCTGCGCTCTTGCCGCCCGCCCCGTTCTTCCGGGCGCCGTGGGCCGCCAGCGAGCTGCCCTTGGCCTGGCCCGCGCCCCACGCGGTCTGTAGGCAGGAGTCCGAGGCCTGCAGGTTGGCCATGGATAGCATTCCCTGAATGGCTTCCTGTGTGCTGGGGGAGGCCGGGGGCTGGCTGGAGGCACAGAGAGACAGGCATCAGACCCAGCCACACCACAGCCCGCACATTCTCCCTCCAGTGATCAGTGGAGATGTGGGGAGGGTGGTGGTGGTTGAAGACTTCCCGTGGAAATGGCCCCTCTGCCCTCCTCCAGATAGACAGAGGGGCATAGGGAGGGAACACAGGGAAGGAAAGCGGAGGGAGAGGAGAAAGAGGGACAGAGGGAGGTCATTGGCAGACTGAGGCCCCAAGCTGCCAGCCCCCCTCCACTGCAGCTGGCTGTGTCTGACACCGCCCCCCCCCCAAGCTGCTTTCCCACCATGGACCCTGCCCTCAGTCACAGCCCACGTGCTCCTCCCACAGTGCCTTCGAGAGCACCCTTCGCGGGGGTACCACAGCACTCTCGCTCCCATGATATGGTCTGCCCAGGTGACACTCATGTTCTCTCTGTGACTGTGCCATCACTGCAACTACACCTACACTCAGATCTACACCTGATCCTGTACACACATCTAACCTACACCCACACCTGCAACTGTATCTACACCTGGACCCCACCCATAGCCACACCCCCACCTACACCTGCACCTACACCCCCACCTGTATCTGCATCTATACTCACACCCACACGTGCATCTGCACCCCTACTTAAACCCCCATCTGCACCTCCACCTGCTCTGACCTCCACCTGTACGTCACCTGGCAGACACAGCCCCACTCAGCTCAGTCAGACCTCAGTCCCTCGCCGCCCCCAGGATGCACAGGCTGAAACGAGGCAGCTTCTCAACGCCACGTTCCACCCCTGACCTCGCCCTGCTGCTCTCCAGCTCGGGCAGCGCTGTCCCCCAGCACCAGCATACGCTTTTCTGACCACGTCCTTGTCCCCTGCCCCATGCTTGAGCCCCTGCCGCCTCCCCTGGCTGCTCTGGCTCTCTCCCTCCAGAAGGACCTGCTCTGGCTTCTGAAACACCCAGTGCAGCCGGCACCACTACCCAACACCTGGTTATGTGTTGCCCTGGTTCTGGGAGGGGCAGGTGGGTGGCCCCTGTCCATAGAGCCAGGTCTAGAGAGCTCTGAACAGTCCACCCTCCCAGGCTGAGTCCAGGCTTCCTCCAACGGCCTCCCTCCCCTCCTCGAATGCAGACCCTCTCAGAGGGCCTGCCCAGCCTCTGCGAGTGTGGGGGGCACTTCCCTGCTCCATGCCCTTCCCCTGTCTCATAGCCCACCATGCCCCAGCCTACACCTCTCACAGCCAGTACCCCTAGGGACACCAGAAGGTCCTGGTAGCTTATACACACCAATACCAATAAATGCCAGAGATTCTAGACTGGCCTGGGCTCCAGGTACCCCTGCAACTAGGACAGAGGGCCCTGCTCTGCTTACCCCCCACATCCCCACAAGGCATAGTGCCCTGCCAGGCAGCTCCCAGGAGGCCTAGTCCAGTGGGGCATCTCCCTTCAGGGCCATTTCTGGCCGTCACCCGGGACAGAATGGCAACCCAGCCTATGGGTCCCACCCACACCTCTCACTGCATCAGGGCCAGTGGGGGAGGGTGACCCTCCCTCTGCTCCCTGGAGTCCTGGGGGGCAGGTCCGGGAGCGGGGTGTGGGGTTGGGGGGACTGCAGCCCCGCTTGTCCCTCCTCCTGTCACAGACCCCAGAGTCCCAGGAGAAGGCAGCAGGAGCCCCATCCTGTGTCTGCCCCTCTGACCGGCCTCCCAAGGGAGCACCTGCCCACAGGGTTGCCGTGACCGCGAGGCAGCACCAAAAAGCACTGGTCCACGCGGGAGGGCTCTGCACCCTCCTCTCTCACACTGTCTCCTCCTTGCTCCCACCTCCACTTCCAAAAAGTGTTTGAAGCATCTATAATAATAAAAGCGTAATATGCTAATTAGACTGGACAACCTTCCAGACGAAGCTGGGGCTGTGGGGGAAGCCGGTGCCGGCAGCCCGGGGAAGGAAGCCTGCTCTTGCATGAATTTCGTGCATCGGACCTCTGGTATTTAATCAGACCATTAGAGCGAGAAGAGGTCAAGAGTACCTGCTCAGAAACAAGAGCCTCCCAAGACTGAAGCGGGAGGGGGCGGAGAGATGGAGCTGACACAGAGGGCACAGGCACGCAGGACAGTCCGAGTCAGGGGCCCCTCGGCAGGTGTGGACAGCAGCCATCCTGCGAGAAGCACCGCTGGGCTCCAGGCCACGTGGAGGGGGGAGGCGATGGGCAGCCCCCTCCAACACCACCTCCCCCTCCCACCCAAGATGCACTGGCCCAAAGTGTTCTGGGGTTTCACTGGAACTGGACAGAATTATGTTCCTAAGCCACAAACAATAGGAAAATCAGGTAGAGTCAGACCACCCTGGTTCTTCAAGAGCCCCCAGCTGGGCCTCTGTCTGCCCCAGGGCCCAGGACTGGCCCCCCAGCACCATGACCTGCTGTGCCCACGAAGCACGAGCAAAGGGCTGCCCAGGCCCCGCTGGGGGCATGGCGCATTGGGCAGCGTCACTGCTATACCATCTTCACGGACGCTCTCGGAAGCATGGGAGCTAGCAAGCCCACAGCTGGCCCTCCACCCTCTGCACCAGGCCCTGTGGAGGGAGGGCATGATATGGCCGGCCCTAAGGTCTAGGTCCCTTACCCAGCCTCGGACCAGACAGACGCCAGGCTTCCGAAGAGGATGGGAAGGTGGGGGCCAGAACCCTCCACCTGGAGGGTCCCCTAGAAGCCAGCCTCCCGCTCGTACCAGCTGAACCCCGAGGCCCAGCTCAGCTGCAACCACGAGGGCCACCGCCGGGGCGGCATCCGTCCACAGCAGGCGCAGATCAAGGAGCGAAGGCTGAGCAGTGCACATGGAAAGTACCACCTTAATCCTCCAATTATCCTGCCCAAACCCTCTCCATCCCCCAGAGGTAAACACTAAGCAAACCATCCACCAGAAATTAACATAGTTTCCTCCATTTTCTTCAGCTGATTTTTTCCAAACAGCGAATACTTAAAACAGAGCAAATGGACCATCAAACACTGACCTACGCTCCAAATGGGAGACTGGAGAGGGCCTGCTT